GTTTGGTTTATCGGGATAGAAAGCAAATTAAGCGGACTACTTTATGGGATTAATATACGAGAGAGAGAGAGAGAGAGAGAGAGAGAGAGAGAGTTAAAAATAGGTGAATAATATAGGTACAGTAAGGTTAATAAGGCAGGTACAATAATACAGGTAAAGGTAGAGTTAATAAGTTAATGACACAGGTAGACCTCACAGTTAACATGATAGTTGTTGATAACTCGGCGCCCTGTGACAAACTACTTCAGTGTAATCCAGTTTCTGTGTCTGTCGGCAGGTGAGAGGGAGCTTGGGGATGACTTGTCTGGAAGTTCACGGTGAGATGCATCTTTCATTATAAAAAAAATATTAAAAAAAAAATCTAAAATGCCAAAAAAATTTATAGATAATGTAAAATAAAAGTCGATTCTTTAATTATTCAGAACTGTAGAATGAATTTGAAAAGTATATGGAAAAGTATCCCTCTTCACATCTCTTCTTCCTCTTCTTTCCTTCTTTCCCCTTCTCTTCCTCTCTACCGTTTCTCCCACCTCCCCCCCCCCTCTCTTCCCTCCTCACCTCCCTTCCTTCGTCTTCCCTTCTCCCTCCTCTCCTTTCCCTTCTCTCTTCCCCTCGCTTTTTCTTCCTACTCCTCTTTTCCTTCTCCCATCTTTCTCTTCCTACTCCTTCCCTTCCTTCTTCTCCTCTCTTCTTTTTCTCTCTCTTCGTCTAATTCACTTTTTCGCCTGAGAGCCTCACAATAGCCTGGGCCAAAGATGCCGTTGTGTCTATTGCGTCGAGAGAGACATCACAAGGTTCCTTTTATATAATATGCTAAGTAATCCTCGGCGCTTTATGATGCACACAAAATACTTCCTCAAAGGGAGAGTTCTTCGCTGCCCTCCCCTCGTGTCTTGTTATGGGGGGAGAGGAGGGGAGGGGAGGGGAAGGGAAGGTAAGAAGGACAGGTGGAGTAGGGAAGAGGAAATAGTAGGTGGAGTGCTAGTAGAGAAGGGTAAGTAGGGTGAGGGTGGGGAAGTGGAGGGGGGGTTGCTAGGGGGTCGTAGTGAGGGAGGAGGCCTAGGATGGTGGCGACAGGTGAAAGAGGTGCGCTGGTCCAAAGGAGGGAGGAGGAGGAGCAGCAGCAGCAGCAACAGAAAAAAAGAGATTTAGGTGATAGAAAAACAGTAAGGAAAGGGAGGAGGAGAAGTAGGAAAGGGATTAGGCTAGGAAGAGAAGTAGGGAGGGGTTAACTAAGGAGAAAGACTTAATTGGGGGAGGGAGTGGGATAGGATGATTTCTTTGGGGTAAAGGGGGTGGGGGGGATTTAGTGCAGTGAAGGGAGTGAGGTGGGGGTGCAGGAAGCGAGGAAGGGGTGGAGGGAATGAGGGAGGTATTTTAAGGGGTGAGGAGGGGGGAGATGCAGGAATCCTCCAGAACGACTGCACTAATGTAGTCTTTCATCCTGGCACAAAAGGACGCCTGAGAAAGGATCTTCTTCCTCCCCCGTAGGGCATGGCGGCTCCGGTGACGTTGGCACTGTCACCATTACCTGCCCTCCACACACACACGATCACCTTAACTTTTGTTTACTAGTCAAAAGGAGAGGAATGGAAGTATATTCTGAACCCATACTGTCTCGTCCTGAAAGCTATGGATATTCTTCACAGTTTGAGAGGAAATTTTTTAATTTTTTTTTTTTAGTTTGATGATATATTTCACAGTCTCTGATTGTATGTTGTGTAATCATAATTTATCAGTACAGGTATTGCAAGACGATAACGCCCACACCAGTACTATCAGGTCTATGTTGAGTGTTACGTCGCATCATCTTGTGGACAGCCGAAATCAAAAGTAGATTTTTTGTTTTCACTTTCGTAAAAATTGCTTAAAAGAATCTCTATATCGTTTATTAACTTTAGGCTTTAACACTGAGGGAGTATTTCATATCTTTTTTTTTTCAGAAGCCTCAGTATAAGAACATAAAAATGGAGGAAACTGCAGCGGGCCTATTGGCCCATACTGAGCAGTGTCAATGTGGCTACATTAATTCGTATGTGGTAATAGTATACTCGTATAAAAGTTCATGCCTTAATCTACATAATGACACAACTATATCTGAACCTTACTAAACGTAGTCCATTAGGTATAAAGTGGCAGGTACAGTAATTACTATGTAGTTATGTAGTGACTATTATAAAAGTATTGCCTTTACCTGCACAAAATAGTTTCGCACAAGCACACGACAGCCAACGACTAAATGGCAAAACATCGCACGACCTTATACCGATACTGGACCTAATTCGTCAACAATGTTACAATATAACAAAACAGCGCTAATCGAAGTGACTTTATACGAGGACACCCTATGAAAGAGATGGCTATAAAACTCTATTGAAGCTGACTATACACACAGGCAGTAAAGGTTTCATTACACCAGGGCCTGGAGCTAGTGGAGGGTGGGGTCTCTCTCTCTCTCTCTCTCTCTCTCTCTCTCTCTCTCTCAACCCGGAAACATCGTCTTCCGGATTCCACCTGCTGCCACCATTGCTCTCTTTGGGTTTGTT